GGCTCCAAATTACGGATCGCTCCAAATGATTCTATGATTCTATGATATTGCTCTCCTCCCACCCCCAACAAAGGAAAAAAGAAGAAAAAAGAAAAAAAGATTAAAAGATTAAATTTGGAATTTGCGGGTGCGGGGAGGCACCCTCCTAGAATGCCTTCCTGGGCAATTGCAATAGTTCTCAATTTCTCACCTCTAAAACAGGACATGAGAACTGCCACCACAGACCCAAATTCAGAGAACACTTTCCACTGATTCCCATCTCCAGCAGTGAGCAGCACCATATGCTGCTATGTGCACTTCACTTCCTACTCTACAGATTAGATATTACCAAGGGATTCTGGCTTTCTTCCAAGTCTTTTTTTTTTTTTCCTTCCCCTCTGTCTTAAATAGTATTGGTTATAATTCAGGTTACTCTTCTTTCCCTTAGAAAATTCCATCCTGCTCACCTCTGGGTACCACTGTCATTCCGTGGCACTTTTCCACCACCAAGTTAAGTCTTGGGCAGCAAATCATGAGGATAGTACCACTCCCTTTCTGTTTTCCATTTTCGTCTTTGCTTGTTTAGCTTACAGACTACAGGGTCTGGATTTCTTCCTGCTCTCAAGTATGGACTCTCAAGACTGGTGTTTCCTTCACAGATCAATTGCATATTACACTAACTCTGCCACAGAGCACTGTGGATGCTGAAGGTTCAAATGGATTCAGAAAGCAAAACTACTGGAAAACAAACACAAAAGACAAATTCACAGAAGAAACCTCTCCCGGTTTCCAGCCATACAAATCCAACTATACAAATCACAAAGTTACGCCTTCAGTTTAGAAAGTGGTTAGATGCTGGTGAAAACACTGTCACTGGAACGTGGAGACTGTATGAAGGCAGTGTTCCCTTACCTGCCCCTGCTTGTACTCTTCCTTGGGAGACAGGGGCTAGAGCTCTAAAAAGAAAAATGACTAAAATAATAATAAATAGGATAAGATGGAATCATGTTCTAGGATGTCCGTATGATTAAAAAAAAAAAAAAGGGAGATAACAATGCCTTGGTGATGGATCCTGTGGGAGCCCAATGTGAGTAAGACACTGAACTGCTGTGAGGCCTGAGGCACTGCTAAATGTGGTCTTCAGGTGTCTGTAGGCTTGGACACCCGAAGCTTGAGCCAGATGGAAGGGAGAGGAAGAAGGCTAAGATCTTGTTGCTTTTGGCACCTACAGGTTTTTATGCGTCTGCACCTAGCAGACAAAAACCTAGCAAATCAGCATCATGCCATAACTTCTTCAACATGATGTCTTGCCTATTCCTTTTTTAACCACCTGCTACAGTTACAACTTATTCATGAAATTTGAAAAAAAAAATACAATAGTAAAAAAAAAATAGGCATAACTTTAACAGTTCTGCCGAATAAAAGAAGGAACCTCAAGATCCCTTTTGAAAAAGGTAAATTTGCTTGTTTTCCTTTAAGAGGAGAGTTCCCCCAGATTATTATCAGTAGACTAGCTACATTGATCAGATTGAGATGTACAGTTTATGAGCCCTTTTCCCTCCAGTTGATTCAGATACATCCATTAGCCGCATCAGGAGCTCTGGATTTGTCTAGCTTGCTAAGTGTGAACATGCCAATGGTCTCAATTAATTTGATAACTTATTAAATTGGAAGAAACACGACTCCACTGTGCCCAGCTTAGAGTAGGTATAGCTGTGTGGTTGGTATAATGCTTCTCCTTCCTGCTTTTTCTTCACATTCTTTCATAGTGATGAACAGAGCAGACTTCATAGCAGAACTTTATTACTACCATTCACAACAACATCCCTTTCAGTAGAAAGTAAAAAATTCTTTTCTCTGATTTGTTTTTTCAGGTTCTCTGAAAAATCTTGCTTAAAATTCATAAGATAAAAGCCCAGTTATGGGGACTGTAAAGGCTACTAGAAGGGAATCACAGTGTTCCAGCATAGTTCAAGGTCTGACTCAAGACTAGCAACTGAGAATATTCACAAAGTGACATGAATCTTATTTTCAAGATACAGTTTCAATTTACATAAATAACCTCCAGTTGTGCTCTCCACCCTGGGAATTTAATTAATACCCACTGCTGCTTCCATAAATAAAGGATCCTCGACTAAATAAGAGCAGCACCTTACTGAAAACTATATAGAAAAACATTGCTATTTAATAAAATTTACTAGAACAAGACATTTTCTAGAAATGGTATGGGGAAATATATGCACACAGTGTAGCTATCCACAATAATGCATGCAAAAATTGAATCACATTTCTGATTTTGAAGTCGCATTATATATTTGATTTTAAGATCCAACAGTAGTTTTTCAAAACCAAGTTCCACTCGCACAACTTCAAGATCTTAATACATTTGAATTAGACGGTATTTAACTTCCTACATTTCATCACCCTCATTTTCTTTGGCATTCTCAGAAGCTTCTTGTTCTTCAAGTAGCAGGAATTCCTCTATTGATTCCCATAGTTTCCTAAAAAAGTACAATATAAAACATCACAATCAGCGAGCAGAAAATGAGGCTTACATCAGTGACACCCAACACCTGGGTGCAAGTGCAGATGGTGTCAGAGAGTCTTCCCATTTTGAGCCACTCAAAAGTAATTAAGACTGAGCTCAGACAACTTCAGGCACTTGAGGTTGCTTATAGAGACAGAAAGATTCATCATCAGAGGATGATTCATCCTTGCTAACATCTTGCTACCTCAGATGACTGAAATCTGCTGGAATGGATCTAGGCAGAGAGCTGAGGAAACCCTTTTTGCTACCATTTCCCTGCATGCTCCTCTCAATTAGCCTCAGCAGCACAGGAACATAAAGATATACTCTTCTCCTCCAGATCTTTTTGAAGAACAAATACAAAGAGAGAGATTTACTAGACCTGGCATTATTATCTGAAAATAAAGAAGGTTTACATTTATGGCCCTGGTCCATATCCGTTTGTAATGTTAATGGAAAACATTGTATCCATAGTAGAGCTTACTTTCCTTTTGCCTACCTTTCTTACAGTGACCCGGGTATGGATCAAGCAGTGTCATTAAGACTTGACAGTTAATACATGGACTTTTTTTTTTCCTTATAAATATTTACTCACATTGAAAGGAAAGTGTTTAATTTTGTAGCTGTCTTTTGGTCACTTTCTACAAAGACCTGAGTGAAACAGTTGACTGATACAAACAAGAATGGAAATCCAAAAGGAATTTCATTATTTGCACTAGAGGTTTGGGCACAACCATTCCATCAGGGAAACAAAAAAAATACATGACCTAATATATCCATTTACAGCTATACAATAACATTTAAGCTTTTGTATTCTGAGTATTTTTAATTTAGCAAATGAGCACTAAAAATTAAAAGGTTTCCATCCAATAGCTACTAAGCCTGAAGAAATGACATTCTGGCAGCAGAAGGAAAGAAGAAACTTGGCTGAGCAAATTGTTTGCTGCAAACATTTTATTTAGCTATAGTTGCAGGCTAAATACTTGCCCCCAATTCACTGGGCAATCTCTGAGCACCTGGGGGAAGCTTCTACTGTAGATATTAAGTAAGGATTAATCTATGCTTTGTCTCTAATTAAATGTCATCTAAATTATCCTATCTGCATTAAGGGCAAAGCATGATACAGTTTTGACTTCAGACAATTAGACATCCTATTATGCCTCAAGACAGGCTTTGATTCAGAAATCTCATGCTACTATTACTGTTCAGTCTCCCTGATCTGTCCTGGAGAAAGAGAATAATGTCAGCTCTAGAAATGTGATTCACAGCATTAGGAGGGCAGAATTTTGGACATCCATTTCATAAAGCAACTTATTATGCAGATATCCCATGACAATGTGCATCTTTAAAGGGTTTATACATAAGCTCTGCTGGAAGCAAAATGTTAGAGTCTTTCTCTTGCATTTTTTAAAACATTTAGTGAGAACACTTCCTTAAGTATCTCAGGGCTAATTACTTTTAATAATTAAGATGATACAAATGAGACTAATTAACCTTGTATTCTAATATACTACTAATTTTTCTACAATGTTTTATTTCTAATAACCTTTTGGTTGATCGATTGTTCCATTTTAATAATGTTCCCAAATTTTTCCTTTTCACAAAATATTTCCCCTTATCCCTTTGGACAGAATTGTATTACATTTTCTTCCAAGTTTTCTCTGTCAAATTACGTTGATTTTTATCTGTGAAGTCCTATTCGCCTTCCAATTTAAAATGTTATCCTGCCTTTCAAAATCAAAGAAATACTGAAAAGTAGGTTAATGCACTGTCCTGTAATTTCTAAGCAGATGCAAATGTGAATCATATTTTATGGGCCTGATTGCATATCAGATCCTTCCTGTTACACACTTTCTTATACTATGGACCATTACTCTCTTTCTGAAGAGAAGGATCACAGGACCCTACCAATCATACAGGATCTGTATTCACCCATTACTGTCTCGGCTGCCCTGACTTATAATCAGCAGCTGAAGTGAATGTAATCATCAGTAACCAACACACTTTCCTCAAGCAAGCATTGCTTATTTGAAATTAAAACATTTCAGGTAAAACAGGCTTTTGTAAAAGAGACTATGTCTATCTTATCAGATGCAACTGCACATTAAACCCTTCAGTCCCCTAATATGGCAGTGGCAATTTCTCCCTAAATCACAGACATACTTTATTTCCACCTGCTCTAAAGACCAATGCTTTAAATATTGCATAGCCTACAAATCACACTTCTTCTCTCCACCTAGGGAGCATGTAATTTTGTAATCGTCCACATAAGCTCTAGATCCTCAAGCACACGGCTCTGGCAAAGCAACTCCTGCAACTTTAAGCAGGAGGCCAGAAATATGCTGTTGTCTACTAACTGTTTTTCATGTTGTCTGTGGGGAGATAGTTTATTTAGATCTCATGTGTTGTTTCACTGCTTTTCCCTTCCAATTCCTCCCCTTTCCCTCATTAAGCTTAATGAATGCATCCATCCAGGAAATTTTAACAACATAATATACACTAACTTCATATCATAAAGCAGGTCACTTTCTATGTTCATGAAATTATCATATATTAGTGGCTTTAGATCATTAGGTAGCAGTTCATGAACTGAGAACTAACTCACACTGACATCCTCAAACAACGAAAGTGCTATCACTGCAGAGACCACCTTCAACTCTTATGTTGGCAATTCCAACTTAATTAAGAACCAGAAATGGTAAATTAGCTGAAGCTTAACCTTAATTTTAAGAATGTATAGACTCCTAGATTCGAGCGTTTTCTGTTTTAAGCTACAAGCGAGTTGAAAATCTTTATACTTCCAAAGACCTGAATTCAGAGTTCTGTTTTGCTAAGACTCAAGACTTTTGAAATGAACATTTAGGCTTTCCCAGCAAAACTTTCCCAGCACAATTTAAATGTAAAAAAAAAAAAAAAATCTACTCAATCAGCAAAACAGACCCCCTGTAATCTTAAGTATTGGCAATAGGATGAGAATAGAATCGTTCTAATGCATCATTTTCTTTTCCCTATCAGTATCATTTTGTATTTTTACTGCCACTCTCATAGCTGTGTGTGGAAGCGTACAGCTCACAGACTTATATTCCCAGGCAAACACAACATGGGGGTTTGTGCCCTATGGTACAAAACCCAAGTTATCTAAATTTAAGAAACCATTCACTTAACATAGTATTATGGTAACAGCAGACAACTCCCTAATATCTTCCGAACATGTGAAGCATAAAAAGCCATACAGCATGGTCAGCGAGGCTTTGAATGAGTTACTCGGGCCTTTTTTCTAGGCTACAAAATTTCCCTCCAAATGATACATGAAAATATTTACATTACCATGCAAATAGAAACCAACGAGTTGGGCATGCAGCAAAGCAAGAAGTTAAACCAGCCTGATTTGCCTGGATGCAGTGATTTCTTATAAGAGTAAATTATGGGTCCAAAACTGCCTGTGGCTTTTGGCAGACACGTCACTTAAAATCTGCCTTAAATTCCACCAGTAAGGATTGGACTTTTCAGCTATTTTATAGATCTAATTCTCAATTCATACTGAACTTCAGTTGTTGCTGAAGGTTGATCATTTTTTTCAAAACTTCATTACAGTTTTGCCTGAAAAACAAATCCGTGAGCAGCACTTAAAACTCATGCCAGTCTGCACCACACATGCTAAAGCTTGTACCTATCTGAGTATACGCATTTCATAGCATTAATGTTGCATGACTAAGCAGAGTTCTCTCCTCCTTGATATTTCACCTTGGATGACTCCTCATCCAAGGCTTCTGAATATTAAAAACATAGCAGGAATAAACATAGTCTTAGGATAGAGCTAAATACTACAAGCACCATAGCAACAAATAAATTCATTATTTAATACTGATAGATGGCACTAATAACCAGAGTCGCATACCTTAACTTTAACTTCTTAAAGCGAACTAACTCAATTTCTTGAGATTGACCTTGTAAACTCCCATGGAAGGGGGGGTGGGGGGCAAAGAAGCCTAAGAATATCAAGGCAGTTCGCAATATAAGCAAACAAACAAACAAAAGTTATCAAAATTGGCTCTGGTTTAGTGCTGTCAGAACAGACAAGGGGTTGAATTGCTTCAGGGGAAAGCTTAAAATACTTCCTCAAGTACTATAATCTGTCTGTTCTGTATTTAAACAAGTAACTGAAGCAATCAAGAATGTTAATCAAGCACTAAGCATAATTCCCTGTTATTACTATATTACACTGTTAATTTTTCTTAGTTTAACACTCTGGGCCTTACAGGAGTCAAATCTATAATCTCTGATTATGATTCCCAGCTGCTATTGCATGTACTGTGCAAGTAGCACTTTGATGCAGCTGCTATTAATAACTAATCGTTCTTTCTTTGGTCTAGCAAGTTATTACAACAGGAGTTTCCATCATTCTAACACTTTCTGTGTAACCACAATGACATATGATATTGGAGCATTACAGACTCACTTTTGATTTTCTTGAGTTATATGCAGTTTATCTAAAGTTTCTGTGATACGGTCTTCAACATCCTGTAAAAAAGAAAGACATAAATTTTGAGAATTACTTCAGTGGCTAAGAAAAAAAGTCTGCAGTGATATTAATTTGGTGATGTGTCTGATCAGCATTTAAAATACTCCAATACTTTTTACTCCATTAACCTTGACATAAATTACAGTAAGTAGTTCCTGTGTGACAGGAGTTTTAATTTAGCACTACATCTGAAGTTATGCATGCCTTTGAGTCTGACATAATGCCTCACTTCTTGCCAACTCTCACACCATGAGGAAAACCCTACAGACAGTAAAACCAGGTCTTAATGTAAAAATGTGGAAGGGTATTAAAGTAAATACTTCTATACTTTTTTTTAATTATTTTTGTACTTCTGCATACATGTCCATTTCTTGGTTCTAGAATGAGCTGCTAGAAAAAGCTTTGTCTGGGTGCAATTAGCTTTGTATTTCGCATTTCACTAGCACCTAAATGAAGCCTGTTCTTTTGGCTGCTAACAGAAAGCATCAAGCTTCAGAGTGTGCAGTATCATCTGAACCAAAGATTGTTTCATACGAGCTATTCTTCATTTTTCTTCTCTTTTCAGGCATCTGTCAGGCCCTGTATTTTACAGAACTCTTTCCAAGTTTTTCTTGCTGAGCTATTCCATGGATTTTATATCTTGGAGCTATCTATCCCAGGCTCATTACAGTGCCTTCACTACAGTTGCAAAACAGGAGCTTTTGTAGCTTTGATTTACATATTTGGATCAAAGTTAATTGAAAGCTGTCCTCAGTAGCAAAAAAAAAAAAAAAAAAAAAAAAAATCAGGTGAAAATCTATGTATATGCTACCTTTCTACTTTCTCAGCAGACCTAATCTGGAACCTGCTGAAGCCATAGAAGCTTTCCAATGATTTGGGATTAGACCTAGGTAAGGTAACTCATGTAGAAATTAGTTTGCACTATGCCAGAATCATACTGGGGTCTAAGGAAATAACATACTTTTATTTGGCACTGAAGAAAATTGTTCGAGGAGTCGATTTTCATAATTTCAGTCTGAAAAAGTAATATCATAGATCAGTAAAATTGTCATACAACGTTTCAGCAAAAGCAAATGCATCAAATTATCTATTTAAAACTGTAATCTGTGTGGGAAAGTACACACTGTACTTATGAAGTATTATGAAATCATGTTTTAAAATAATACAGAAAGGCACTAGTTTAATTAGCTTGCTCTTCTTAAATGGTAATATGCTTGTCCTTTCAAAGGAGAGATAATTTGAACGGTGAATTATTATTACCAATAGCAATAAAAACGCCTAGACAACTATTCAGCCAAAACATCCTCGGAGGGCAAACTCTTCAGTGGCCTCTCCACTTCCCCTCCTGGCTACTTAGGGAGTGCCAGAGGTTTCCCTCCCTCGCTGCTGTGGTGCTCTCCTGGTGCAACGACTATACAACATTGCCATCTGCTGACTGGCCTGTTTCATTGCAGCACAGACAAGGCACAGTGCAAAAATCAAACGGAGTAAGTTTATGCTTAAAGGCCTTCTGAACTCTCGCATTAGAGTAAAAATAAATAAATAAATAAAGCAAGGAGAGGAACTCCTCAGAGTAGCTCTTTCTTAAAGGACCAAAGTTCATATGCATATTTCTCAAGTCGCTCCAGAAGCACCCCTTACACCATGTTCTGAAGGTGCTTCCCAGCAAAACAAAATGGTAATTGTCACGACCAGTTTCTGTTATTCATTGTTTTAATATCTTGATACTAACTACTAAATTGTCTAAATTAATCAAGAGTTCATCTCCTCCTCCAGCCCTCACTGATACTAGGAGGCCTGCTGATAATCTTAGCAAGAAGTGACAGAGCTCTGTCTTGTGCTCTTGGGTAGCAGCACAAGGAGTTGCTTGAAAAAGCTGTCAAGAAAAATAGCAACTTTGCATATATCATTCAATTTAAAGGCATCCAAGCATTACACAGGAGCATAATGGCAGTCTCTGTGCCTGAACTGGTAAAGACAAAAACAAGGCATTTTTATGTTGTGGTTTTTTATGGTTTTTCTCAGCTTTCCTGTGACTTTTTGGCAGCTCTGTTTTTCTCTCAGTTCAAATAATTAAACAGATTAGATGTCGTGTCAGCAGCTATAATTCTGCTTCAGAGGCACAGAAAGTTTGGAGAAATGTTTGACCTTATAGATGCTTATCCGAAACCAAGCTCTACATAAATATTCTGTCATTTGCCCACCATTAACAGTGACACATTATCCCCCGTTCATGCTCACTGTACTTTTTAGGTTCTATTTAGCTGCATGAAATTACCTCCTCACTTAACACAGCTGGAATTTTTATTAGCGTAACCAGTGGCAGGGACAGGTTAAAATCAGCTTTATTGAGATCATGTGCTGTTTCCAATTTCGCAATTGCTAGTAGCAAAAGAATACTGGTGTTAATGCTGAATGTGCCATTGCTGCAGAAATTTGCAAGTGTTTAACTTTTATAGTATAAGTGGTCCTCACACAGGCCACTCTCAGTATGCACTTTTTAGCACATAAATAATCTCTGCAAGTTCTGTACCTTGACTTGTTCAGGATTCAGGCCTATCTCCCAGTGTTTGCTTTGTACAGCACCAATCACAATGAAAGTTCAAGCAATAATGATGTTTACTGTACTACAAAGGGAAAAAAAGAAGTCATAATGATGCTAGTACCTAGATATCAGCACTCCTCAAGAAACCTTGCTAGGAAGAACTTAGAATTAATGATTTCTTGCCTCTACATCTTTGACGGTGTTCGTCATGTTCACCACCTCCGCACAGGCCATTCGTTCTTTCTTCTCCGTTTCCAGTATCATCATTTCCTCCCATGTGCTGAGAACTTTACACCTCATTGATTCAAGCTGTTTGGCAGCAGAGGAAGCTTTTCCTACTACCTCCTTTGTCTCATGGTCACTGCAGCTTTCTGGAAGTATAAAAATACACGCACAGTTAAAAGGACAGAGCTGGCAGTGAAAGCAACCTGGTGTCTACAGCCGTGTCCATCATGCTTGCAGTAGACGAACCCAAGTATGAGCTTGAGATGAGCCAAATAGCACAGCCCAGAGGCACCCACAACATTGCCCCTAGGTAGCTGGTGCTCATACTCACTGCACTCATGCTTCATTCAGCCAGACTGACCTCTGGCCCACACCAGCTGCGCCACTCACCTTTCGCAGTCACCCCAATCAAGGCCAGGCAAGCACTTCATTCAAAAACACGGATGCAAAAGGAACCCAGGCAAGGTGGAAATCCATGCTGCATCTCCACCAGAAGGGAGAATTGGTACCATCATATAAAGCAGAATAAATATGCTCCCTTGAATTCCCAGGGCACTCCCTTAAGCACCCAGAAAATACAGTTAATTATTTTTTGGGCCAACTTCACCGTCACCCACATTAAAACACTGTGGGTATACGAGTTTTAAGCAAATTATATTGTAAGTGTGTGAAGACCATGTCGCATTGAAAGCCTGCTTTAAAAAAACAAACAAAACAAAACAAACAAACAAAAAACTTCCACCAGTAATCCTAGCACAAAACCCAAATGTCCAGTGGGGGGGGAGAAAAAAAAATCTGCCCACAAGACAGTAAGGTCTCTTGTTCCCTCAGCATGTCTCTGCAGCAGCACCCCTTTGATCAGGCTGGTGATATAAGCACTAAATGCAGTCCAGGGCAGAGCAGTGGGCTCAGGAAACAGCCTGAAATGCCACAAGGACAAGGGGAACAGAATACTTATCCCAGCAGCAGGCACGGATGGCTCTGCGCACGCTGCTGACGGCTCTGGCGGGGAGCAACCCTGGGCTGAGCTCCCTGGAAGGTGCCTGCTCAGTGCCCCTCTGCAGGAGGAGCTGCCAGGGTGACTTGGCTGGTCCCCATCCAGCCTTCAAGACTCTGCATGGCCAGCTCACCCTCTTGCCCTGCCAGGGTCTTGTTGGAGTCAAAATCTCTGGCTTTTTACAGCTTTTCAGAGAGTTCATCCACAGTCTGTTGGTGCCTGCTCCACTATGATGAGAGCTGTATCCTGGGTCCTCACCCCCACACAGCCCCTCACCAGGCACCTGGAGAGCATGGGGAGCTGCAGGCGCAAATGAATAGCATCTGTCACTGCCACGGGCTCGTACAGGTAGCCCATTTTGTCCCTTGGCAGCCCTGCTCCTCCACGTCACACCGCACTCTCTCACATGGGTTCATTTCTTGGTGCTGGTTCACAAAAAGGGGGGCAGCTGGGAGAGGTGCTGGGGTGCAGGGCTAAACCTCCCAGGCTCTGCGCTCAGGGAGGGCAGAGCCAGGAGGAACGGAAGGCTCCAGCAAAGGGAATGGGAAGAGGCAGAGGACAAAGTGGTCTGTCTCTGCAGTGCAAGAGCCAGGGTGTAGCTTGGCTGATGGGAGCAGCAAGCAGAGCTAGAAAATCCTCATGGCTCAGGTGCCACTCTGGAGCCTGGGGGCATTTCAAAGCCTATGGTGGTTTGTAAGCCACTTTTGCAATATAACGGTTCTGTGCAGATTCAGGACTAGGCCACTGCGCCGAGTAGCGAGGATGTTTTAATGATTAAGAGCTGCCTGTTGTGATCCCAGAACACCAAAATTTCCTACTTCCTGAGCAGCCTGTCAATAGGCAGGCAGCCTCTCTGCCTCCCTCTGGTCTGCTGTGCAGTATCTGTGTGCAGTCAATAACTCAGTGAAGGATGACAACTTTGACGAAAAAGCAAACTGGAAGAAGAGGGTAAGAGCCTGACTTGTGTGCTGCCTTGCATGGTAAAAGTACCTGACGTGTTTCCTGCTGCTCCACATCCCAACAGTCAGTGGTCACCTGCAGAGCAACTTTCCTTTCAAATAAGACAATGCAAGTGACAGAGAATCCCTTCTATGGGTCAGAATGGCTACAGAAACACTACTTGACAATAATCAGGAAGCATCTTTTTATATAGAAAGGGTTCAGAAAACATTAGTTAATTCAAAAAACAAAAATCAAATCTCTTTTTCCCTTGAGAACATCACAAAGTCCTCATTTGAAGTTAACTTGGAGAAAAATAATTTTGATTGCTTAGCACCCAACCTCACAAAACAAACAAACAAGCAAATCCTGATATTTTGCACAGCTTTGCTCTCCAAAGTGCCAGCCCTTGCTAGCACATTTACATCCTCGGTTTCATGACCGGGGGCTTCTAGATACAGATGTAATACTAAAAGAAGAAGAAAAAAATACATATATCTTTCTTACATGACTCATTTGGATTCCTCGGCGTGTAATTGAGGAAGGTGGGGAGGGGAAATCCGAGGTTATCTGAACAAGTATTTTTGAAATTATTAACT